ACGGTAACTTATAATTTTCTCAGATCTTGATCGTCAAATTAAGGCCATCGTTACGTGGTGAGTCTACACACAGAGGCGGTGCGGACATAAATACCGAAGATCGCGTCTAATCAGCGCATTGTTTCGCGGCTCCTTCGTGCAAGCCATAGTCCTCCTTTTATCCACACTTGAAAATGTAAAAGCGCGCCGAGGAAGCCACGTTTTATAATTCCCGCCTAAACAACACTCGCCTCTCTCTCTCTCTCTCTCTTTCTCTCTCTTGGAGAAAAGAAAGTCGCGGATTTCGCGACTACATGTAGCTACCTGTATACCATATTTTCAAATGCGGACGAAACGAAATTACCCTGGGTGAAGTCTCGAGCACGTTCTCGCGTTCGAGAGCCGGGAACATGGTAAAATAAAGTAATTGTTGCTATTACCGGGACCGAGGATCCTCGTGTTGGTAAATTGCACGTGTACATGCATATACATTATGTATAACGTTTGCGCCATGGCGATGAACAAGAGTAGGTGTGCAGCCTGTGTTCAAGAAGATTCAACTCTCTTGCTCTATCTTCCTAGGTAGAGGCTTGTGAGAATCCGGGCAATTACGTGGGCTTCGCTCGCTAAGGAATATCTACCTTGTTTATTACGAATTAATTTAGATGTCTTAATTGCCATCGGTTAATTGTTGTGGAACATGGAGCTCGAGTATCGCGGCGGATCGTCTCTTCAAAGACACCCGGAATTCGTGAAATGGGATTGCCTTGCTTTCACCGTGTGTTCTCCGTGCGTTCTCCGTGCTTCCGGTCTCTGAACGCGCGCGAGAGCTCGTTCGCTCGCGATCGTTCATTAAACTCCCGCCTGAGTCGTTCCTTTTCTCAACGAAAAAATATCTCTCACTCGCGGTACTTATCGTTGTTCAATTGTCAGTTTGTACTTTCCCCAATTTCTTCTTCTTCTATTATTGTGTATTTTGCAAAAAAGTGTTCACTCTCGAGTAATCACCGTTGAAGATCGTAAAAGTTTACACGCGTGGTAAGGAGAAACGACATATTCGACGGTGTAATTATTTTAATTAAAAGGTAACGGAACGAACGCGGTACGTGGCAAGGGTTAAAGGAGCGAGGATCGATTAAAGTAGCACAGAAAGGTGGCTTGGTCGGGATTTTATAAATTCCTTGGTCATTAGCCGCTCGAGGGAAATGATAAAATTAAATGCGTACGCGTCGGCGATTACAAACGCACATTATTCTCGCTTTCCTCCTGGGAAAGTTAAGGCATCGAGCGTGTTAATTATAATGAACGTTAAGTAACCGGTGTATACGGTCGCTATTATCGTTTGTACCGAGCAACAAAATCGCGCAGTCCTGCATCAGCCATCGGGGGAAAGCAGTTTACAGCTTGTTACTTATCGCGATGAAGTGCACTAATGCGGTAATGCACGAGAAATCCTATCGACCGGCAAATCTACCATGAATTGAACATAACGATCTTCGAAACGGTACAATGCAACGCGTCGTAATACGAATTTTTCCCCCCGTTTTCTTCTTTTTTTTTTCCTTTTCCTTGCCCCCACTCGTTCTTCATTTAACCCGATTTTTCACGCTTGCTCCCTTTCCTTCGTCGTTCCCTCGATAACGAAATAGACGAAATTGTAAATTGTTCATTGTAAATCGTACGATTTCTAATAGACCTCGTTATCGTATCTCTATCTTGTAATTTAACGAATGCGTTTAATATAAGGTTTCAGTGTTTCCACATACCAGCCGACGATGCTATTCTGAAACAGCGAATGGAGACGTAGGTGGAAGGTTGAGTAACCGAATCGCGGTGGTTCAGTTTAATCCGTGAATTCGAGTGTACACAGGCCACGGATATTATTCGTACGGAGGAGAAAATAACGAGGGAAGAGTGTGCGGCGATTGCAGGGAAAACGTGCAACTATCGCTACCGGTACGTCGGCCACGGTTCTCCGGGGCTATGGCTCCTTCACACGACAGGCCAATAAAACGTTTCCACGGGGATATGCGCAGCCTGTAAAATGCTAATCGCCCTGATTCTGACGCATTTTCGAACCAACGGATTTCACTTGCCGGTCTTGCGGAAACAACGAACGCTCCCTCCCCTCGTGTCTTCCTGCCTCGCGATGAAAGAATTCTCTCTTCATTGTGTCGAGCCAGGCGAGAGAGAATGCACCGCGTCGCTGACATAAATCGCGCTTCCATACACACACGTTATAACGTGAAACTTAATTGCACCGTTATCGGAATAATTAGAGCAATAATTACATTACTTCGTACCGGTTCAATTATCGACCACTATTCACCGGAAACTCCACTGTCTGTCGCAGCCATTTTCATGTATTTTTCTTTTTTTCTCTTTTTTTTTTCTGCTCTCGATGAAAAGTTTCGATAGCGTTCGATGGTATCACGACGGACAATAACGTTGCGACGTACGTGTTACCGTAGGAAAGAGAAAGAGAGAACAAAAAGTGGTACAGACTGTAAGGAAGATCGTCGAACCCGTGTCGAACATCGTACGATCATTTCCACGATATATATTATCCTTAATTCGAAGCGTGAAATCGCAAAACGGACTTTTCATCGGTGAATAGTCCCAACCAACGTCGGTCGATACGCTCGCGTGAGACATATGGTATCTTCGGTGAAACACCTGCGACACACGGTGTTCGAAAGTAGCGCGAATACGAGGCGACCGATTATGCGACACGCGTCGCGTAATCTCGAATCAGCGAAACGATTCGAACGGATATTTTCCAATTAGAAAATAAAAAATTCCTTTTTTACACAATAATAGTTGGCAATCGTTCGCTTCTATCGACCACGATCTTCGCGTGTACCTACTCGCGTGAAATTAAAAGGAAAAAGAAACCAGCAACCACGTGAAATACGATAATGACTATGGTAATAACGAAGTGTGCTGGATAAAGGGAGGCTTGGTGTAAACGATTCGAAAAAAAATCGTTAACTGGCCGGAAATCGGTAATCACCCGGAATAATCGGTTCCTTTTATATCTGCTTACGTTTTGTCTCTTTTTCTCTCTCTCTTTCTCTCTCCCTTGTTTCGTGGCGCATTAGTCGCGGTAAGGCATTTTTCTACGTAAAAACGAAGCACGAGGGTGGATGGTCCCCGGTTTTGGTCCTCGACTTGTAGCCGGCTGCTTTTTTTCCCTCCTCGTCTCCTCCCTTTTCTGTCATATTAATCGGACTCAAGCTGCGCATATCCTCTGGTAATGAGAATTACACCCTTTCTTCGGCTTTCCTTTTTATTTCCACCACAAGAAGCAATCTACGATTACTTGTTCGTCCACGAAACCCATTCGAACGAACGAACGAACGAACGAAGGAATGAACGAACGAACAAACGGGATATCCTAATCGTACGGTTCATTATGAAGCGTGTGCACGCTCGCGATGACTATGACTGATGCTAAGCCACGACGAATTGCGATGCACATTACGAATAAATATCACACTCTTTGCCCCGTCTCGCGTCTAATGTGCCCGCTCCGCAGATTGCCACCTGGGTGGGTTTCGAAAATGCATCGAGGACGTAGGGACATTACGTTTAATTAAATTTCACCGTGTCATGCGACGCTTACCGTTTCTTCTTCCGACGGATGAAAAACGTTTTGCCCGACGCCATTCTTCTGGTAATCGTCCAGGCAAATGAATTCTACCGGCCTTAAAGGTTCGCAACGAACCGTTTTACGCTTTACCTAACATCATCTTAACTTGATTCTTCTTTTCTTTTTCTTTTTTTTTTGCTTTTTCTCGAAAATCAACTCGGTCACGTTTTATCCAATTGTACACGCTCTCGTCTGATTATTCCTCTGTTCGTCGGTGATATGGTTAAATCGACGAACGGGGGAAACTTTTGCTTAAATCCAAGAGGTAAGGGAATATTTTATTCACCCTCCCCCTACTCCCCGACATATAGACGACGTCGCAAAGGAAATGGCGAAGTGTACGAATGAAAAATACTCGGATGTCGCTGTTCGAACGATTAATAGGAGTGGTTGACCGATTAATGGAAAGTCGAAATCTATCAGAGAAAATCGTAATTCCCGAGCGATGTCGGCACGAGAGGCAATTCAACCGATTCCGGGGCTCGCCATCTATCTTCCGGCGCGTTGGTAGCGAAGAAAGAAGGCATAATTAAATTAAATTAAGCCCGGCTGAGCTCTCGGCCTCCACACCCCTTCCCTTCTTCGTCGCTTCGCTAACCTCCTCCTCTTCCTCCTCCTCCTCCACCTCTTTACTCCCCTCTTCACCGGTTCGTTCCTTCGAAGCTGTCCTACCAGCGGCGATAGTCGACGCCGCCTTTATTTGCAAGCAATTTGCGCTCGCGGATCGTGCTGCAAAAAATCTGAAAATAATGCTGCCGTATTAATCATATCCCTCCGCCCTTATATTCCCTCCTTCTCTTCGTTCGTTCGCTTCTGTTCCCTCCTCCCCACCCGTTCGTCGCTCGAGAGTCTCCGCGCACCGCCGACATACTTACGCCGAGAGTCCTCGCATATTTACGGGCGAAAAAACCGCTTCCGCGCGGCTCACACCGCGCGATTTCGCGTACAACTGTTTAGCGTTGCTACCCATTGCAATTCGAACAGGAAGGGATATTTTGTAATTTTTTCTAATTAATCACCTCTTCGAACGTTCAATTAAGTTGTATATACGTTGTACACGAATTTTATTTATCAGAGTGCATGTATTTATTGCGATCATGTTGTATTTGAAAAATATCATGGTATAAAAAAAGAAAAAAACAGTATGTACAAAGCAATCGTGTGTCCGGTAATGGGATACAAAATGTAACTGTGTAAGGAGAAGTAAGCAGCTTCGAGTTGATTCGCGAAAATGTGCGGTAACCTGATTTCCCGGTTAACCGTACGGTTAAAAAGAGAAAAGGAGTAAAGGGTATTTACACGAGAGGTGGGATTCACGGTAACGGAAGTCGCATTCTGTTTACTACTAGCCGAGGTGATAATGCGAAGCTCAGGATTTCTTTGGCTTCTTCACGGGCTCGAGGCCGCTGCCGTACTCGGAGGTGTTGAGCATCCTGACTCTCTTCAGCAACCCCATCCTCGTCACGTCACTTTGACGTTGCTGCTGCTGGTGCTGCTGGTGCTCTTGCTTCTTCTTCTTCATCGCTGGCTCCCCGTCAGGCCTGAAAACGCAGACGACGGTCCCTTAATCGTCGCATTAGGGCTAACCCGCAATTTTCGGTAATTCGACGTAAACGACATGTGGCGAGGACAGAGCGAGGTAATCGAAAATCGACAAAAAACCTGGGACTCGCATTAAAAACACCCCGTGTAGCCCGCTGGTCCCGAAGAATTCGACCAACTGCCGTGCCGAATTTCACGTTCGTCACTACTGTTTTTCCCAGGTCGAACCGTTTTATTCGCCTAATCTTCGGCGCGGCGCGACAAACGAACGATTAAAATCGCAGAAAAAAAGGGACATTCCTCTTCACGGAAATGGCCGATCTTTGGACACTTTTGCCAGCAAAAATCTGCAATTTTTTGCCCGGAAACAACGTACGTTGTTTACCCTCTGTTTGGTGCTCCTTCAAAAAGGGGGGAGAGGCGAAAGTGTTTGGTAAAGATCAAAGTGTCTCGAAGAGTGGTGACACACCCGCGTAGAAAATGTGTATATACACAGAGGAAGAGAGTGAGACAGAGTTACTCAGAGACAGGGACAGGCGTAATCGCACCCACAGAGGCGTACACCATGGGTCTCTCGATCCATTGGACCGTCAGCTCGGTGCCCGCCTTTCACCCATTAAAACGAACTTGTTCTCTCTCTACGGGTGGAGGGCACCCGTCGGTTACCCGTTGTGTGCACCGAAAGCACGCCCATTCAAATCGCATTAAACAAGTTAATGCTTAATGCCGGCCCGTGGAGAAAGGCGGAATGTCGATTGGTGTCTTGATAGATAGACACCTTTTCCACTTCTGTCTGCTTGGAAAAAACGAGGTAGAAATATAAAAGAAGGTGAAGATCTCGATGACACGAGAGAGAGAGAGAGAGAGAAAGAGAGAGACACGTAAACGACGGAAAAATGCTGAAAGATATAAGCAGCGAAGAGAAAATCTGAGTGACGATGTGTGCTGGGCAGAGATTTCCACACGGAGGAAGAGGACAGCCGAGGTAGAGAGTAAAGGGAGGCTCGTGCTCGTCCCGTGGTTTCCGTAAATGGCGCAGCCAGGGCCGGAAGTAGCGGTCGCATCAGTCTGTTTAATAGCCGTATTGTATAATTATGAACAATGGAGAGACCAGAGTATCCAGGCGTCGGAGAGAGACCGGGCGAAGCCTGGAGAAGGGCAGAAGCCAGCCGAATGCCATGTGAAATGCATACCCCAGAGAGATAGACGGAGACGTGGGTTGGCGAGAACGAGAGCATGCTCTAACATCGGATAGAGAGAAACGAACACGAGAAGGAAGGGTGGTGGATGAAGAGAGAGAGAGAGATGGTGAACAACGAGAGAGGATGAGCACCGACGAGAGCCGTATGGCTTATGGCTGCCAGCCACCGTACACACCATGTCCGCCCGTTCGTCGTACATGACGAATGACACAAAGCGACAGTTTTGACGTATCTAACCTCTCTAGGAACCACGAGCTGTCCTCTCCGCTACGCTCGCGTGTACTATCTGTTAACACACGTGGTTGCGTTTGTTAGTTGCCTGCCTGCCTCCCGTGATGCCAGAGGGACGAGGGGATGCACCGCAGTTAACACGCTAAGCCACGCATGAATCCGTCATTAATACACTGCGAGTTCGCTCGTCTCCGTGATTGTCCGCTTCAAACGCTTGCTCGAGTCTCCTCGCTGAACATCGTAGTAGTTCGATAATAGGAACGTCGTTTCTCCCGGGGAGATATCGAACCAAGAATCTCTTTCGATCGTAAGATAACGTAAAATCTTACTTACCTCTCGTTTGTCAGTTTGTTGTTGTGCTGAGGTTGTCTCGAGATTTCTCTCTGGTAGATCTTCTTCCCTGCACCGCCGATTTTCTGAGGTGTCTCCCTCAACGCGAAACTCTTCGCGTAGTGGCCGAGATGAGCTTCCTTTCGATTGAAGATCTCCTTCATGTCGCGGGGGTAGCTAGAGTAGAATCGTATCCAGGAGGTGTACGCTGGAAAAGCATCGAATTTAATCGCGGTTAATCACGCGGCACGACAGCCTCTCTAACAATGCGAACGAAATCTCACGGACGACCGTCGACGGAGAATGCGAAGGAAATGTACGTGGTACGTTCCGCCCACGTGTAAATGAGGCCACGTGCACGATAACTCGGATGTAACGATTGGCCGCGCAGTAGCACAGTAGCCCTTATTAATCGAGCTTCCATTAAGTTGCACGGGGGCTGTGCGCGCGATTCTATGGGGTATGTGGCCCGCGGTGAGCTATTAAGAGGCATTAACAGGGGTCGAGTCAAGTGCTGTGGCTAATAGTCAGCCCCCTTAACCCCTCTTGGCGCGGCTAGGTTCGGCGCGCGGGTGAGAAACCCGGGGGTTCACCGGTCCTGAGAGAACTTGACATGTGCCAGTGTTACTGTCACTCCGTGCGAAAAATCTACCGTGAAGTGCTTCTCGGTCTGCTCTTTTCACGGATCGAGATGCTTCACTTTCTCACCCTCTCGCGTGTTAAGCGAGTTGAAAGCTACAATTATCGATGTGAAAAAACGTATCTGGGAACCTTTTCTTTTTCTCGTACAAGCTGTTTCGCGAGTAGCTTGTAACCGGGGAAAGGTACAGCTTGTAGAAAAATATGAGATACGGTAGAGAAAATCTGACAGGCAGAAGAAAACTTAAGTGGCTTTAATTTCGATAATTCACCACGGCAGACCTTATGGCTCGACATTTTCCGGCTTGATTTCCGTCTGCCTTCTCTCTGCTCTTCCGCACATAAGAAACTTGCGAAGATCTTTCTCTCCCGCGGCCCGGTGTCGACGTTGAAAAGGGAGAAATGTTTTTCTCCATTTAGCACATAAATCAGAGCGCGGGCGGGGGCGGCGGTGTATCCTAGCCGAGAAGACAGGGAAGCCACGGGCAGGGGGTGGAAGAGTGGGCCGCGTGGGGCGGCATTGTTCCTAAGTGATGTAACTGCGTCTTATTGTATTTGTATCCTGTATCGCATTGTTAAGAGTCTCTCGCCACAAAGCGTAAGTGGTTTTGGCGGAAGCCACATTCAGTGGT